CGCCTGAAGTTTCCATATCTGTCGCAGATTCGTCATCAGAGACATAGTCAGAGAGCAATAGCAGATAGGACCCTACCTGCTTTTGCTCTTTAGTATGTCCACAACGGATATCGAAACGTCAGGCCAATAAAAGTATTGTACCAGTGATCGAGTCGTCCTCCTCCCTTCGCTTGATCATTATATACACTGACCTCTAACCCTTACTGTTACACAATGTCATTGTGTGAAATTAAATTTGCTGTATACTCCTCTCCGTTATATGAATCACGCAGCGAAGGGGTGCATTTGAAAAGCCATCCCGAAATTTGTTGAATTCAAAAACGAATCCTTTACCTTCGTTATCAGAGCTCTCAAGCAGCAGCATAAGCTGTTCCGTGAGGTTCACCACCATAATTGTGGAGTTCGACTGGAATTTTGGCTGCTGTCCGTGTTCTTACAATAGACAACCCTTACGCTGCTCCAGTCATCTCATGTAGGTAAAGCAGACGACCGCAGTCAACATTAGAGTCGGTTTTTTCGTTCCTCATATACTGTCGACGTATAGTTGAGGATTCTTTAGACATGCGTGACCCAGTATCTGTAATTTTTCCCCCAAGAATGCTGCTTCGCTCTATCTCAACAGTTGTTCGGTCCTCACTGTTCACCGCCTTGATGCCCGATAACAAATTTTCCTTCTCACCACGGTTGACATAAAATTACATCGCCTTAGCTCGGCGAGTCAGTTATAATACTAGGCTTTTTGGACTTGACTGTTCCGTCAATTTTGGCCGTACTCTACTATACCAGCCTACAGAAAGAGGAACCGGCACGGATGAAAAATTCATCAATATTTCTACGAAGCTGCTGTAAAGGTCAAGTAAAATCTACAGGAAGTATAAGCAGCTGGTACAGGACCTTGTCACCCTATTATTGAACAGTTAGTCAAGACCTCCGGAAAATGGATGAAGCGAAGCACTTTTTGTCAGTCTCCCGAACCACACTATAATACAAATTAACCCCAGTGAAATAATTCAGAAAATCACAAATTTCCATATGAAAAGTGGTAAAATATTGTAGTATCAGTTAGCTACTAGGCCTTAAAGTCAAAAGAGCCGGGGTTCAGGTCATTTAGTAGAAATGAAGAACATGAATTGGCTGTTACGCCGACCCGCAGGCATAAACTAATAATTAACTATGCTTTTTGCGAATACAAATAAAATCAAATAAGTCCTGGAGCGCACCATTCCATTACTGATCATTGACATTTTGGTCCATCGTTGTAGGCTTTGTTTAAAACCAACCGGTAAATAATCCGTCTCCCAGGAGGAAATAATGAACAGGTTTTCAGTGCGTGCTTTCTTCGTCCGCAGTTCGCCACACCAAAATTCCGCTTGCGCATTGTTTGCAGATACGGTCTTCTACCGTTTTTTATGTGTGAGAACCAAAACATATTATTATGGAGGTTGTATTGATTGATCTATTACACTAAAACTTTGCTAAGATTTTTTGCCCATATGCTAAAGGAAGGCAGTGTGAATTCCCTAGAATGTGTGGCGGTTAATTAAAATAAGATGAACACATTATAGCGGAAGTCCTTTACACTGAAAAGTCCAATGCCAACTGCTAGAACCTGCTGACTGGAATTCTAAAATTAACTATCCATCGAATATTCACTTACTTGAACTTATTTTATCATACATTACATTTTTATATAGCAAGAGAAATGGCGCGATTTTTATGTCGCCGTCCCAAAGAAGCAATGGTTTTTGAAAATATTTCAATCTTATTTCATTACATGAAGTCTTTTTCAGATGGCTTCTGGAGGAAAAAGGTTTGTATTTTATTACTTTCAGAGCTATATTAATTAATTTACTTATTGGCAATGTACAGGCAAGATCAAAAGATATGTACAATAGTAGATTGAGCCGACAATGAAAAAAACTCCTGATCTTTCTTTCTAGGGTTTTGCAGGCGAAAAAACTGCAGCTCATTGAGTGATTGAAGTTCGGACGGGGAATAGTTGCCACATGAACACAGGGTTTTCAGTCTCCCTTGAGTATAATGAATCCGGTATTCTGCACCAGAGGAAGGTGTCGGCAAACGCCTGCTCGCTGCCGGCTGAAGAATTAGCCCATTTCGGGCTGCAGATTAAGCGCCACTGCCCTCGGCATTAAACCTGGCATGGGGTTCAGAGTCCGCGAACGCCATCAGAGTGTATATCGTTTTGCCACGATCAATAGGCAACTTAAATAACTGTCAATTACCCGTTTACGCCTTTATCTAAACAATACAGCTTCTTCAACATTTAAAATAAATAGGAACAGTTGATTTACTACAACAGCATATCATATATTGTGAGAATCATTTATATTTCTGAGGATCTGGAAATAGGTTATGCTGATTTTGTGCCAGTGTTTACTTTGAGATTACGAATAGAACCTTACCAGCCAGCAAATGCCAAAAACTATTTCTTCAAATCCCCTTTAAATGAATCCTTCAAAATATTGATAATGCAAACTTAATTTGAAGGACGGGATAACCACAAGCCACGTTTTGGAACTTTTCCATTAAAATGACAACATTTTATCAGGGCATTGTTATGAATCTTTTGCGTTTGTTTTTCCTCGACTGTTGACGGCAGACTCTAAAATTAAATATGACGGCGTCCTCCTACGTCAGAAGGAAAAGGAAAGGTCTAATCTTGTTATGAGGATCTACAACCCACGTGCAGCAGCTGACCTTGCGACTTAAACCGAAAATAGAGAAGTCTTTACCTACTCGCATAATATTTAACTGACCTGGGATTCAAATGACGAGTGTGCAGTCGGGACCTTGCGTTAACTTCAAAGGATGTTGAGATTAGTATTAATATTAGAATTATACTTAGGGTTAAACTTAGTGGAGGGGTAGGGGTTGTGATTGGCGTTAAATTTACGTGTAATGATGAAGCGAGTTTGAATGATATGGTTAGGACGAAGGCAAGAAATATTTATTCCATTCCCGAAAATTTCATTGGGCAGCCTATATGTTAAAAGGGTTCACATTCCCTTCTCTTAGCAAAGGTCATTTCTGAACGCAGTCTATACGAGCGGTGCCAATGTGTAAGTTCTTAATTTGTTAGCAGTCATTTAAATATTCGGTTACATTCGAAACAACTGTGTACTATCCTTTTTATGTATTATAATACTAAATATTTCCGATTCAAACGTACGGCTTCTTTGAACAAGGCGAAGATCACGAGTTGAGCAGAATTTATTGACGTCATAAAATGTCGTGACCTTTAATTCATCTGCAAACGGTAATTGCCCGTTAATATAGTAAATAACTGTCAAATTAGAAGGGTGAAGCTTAATAGGTAAATAGGATGGGAAACCTAAGTCCAAAATGTGGGTGCATTGTGAGGAGTAAAGGAGAGGGCAGGTAATTATCACAAAAGGCAGTTCAGGTTACAGTGAAAGCCTGTGAAGTGTAATTAAAGGAGGAGGGGGGGCAAAGCTCAGGGCAGCAGTCGGCCATAACGGGGGTAGGGAGAGGGCGTGAGAGGGACTGAGGTGATCGATCGTTACCACGGCAATGCGAGGTTGATCACATGATCTAGCTGCTTAAAGATTTCTGGCTTTCCTCTGCGTATTGCAGCGGCCTCGGCAAATCGTAGGATTTCATTTACTATATTAACAGGTGATGACCGTTTGCAGATGAATTAGAGGTCACGCAATTTTATGACGTCAATAAATTCTGGTCAACTCATGATCTTCGCCTTGTTCAACTTTCTTTCGGGAAAACAGTGTTTCAAGTACGGCTTCTTTGTTGGGCCTGTGGCGGAGAGCCACAATGCCTATCCCCCCCTTCGTTGTCCAAGGCTCCAAAGTTATGCGTCGTCACAAACAACTGTTCCAATGCTATCTTTCACTGGCGCCCCCGTCCCCCGAGGCTTGACGTCGCAGCTGCTTCTGGCTAATCGATAAAAGCTGCGTCAACGCCCCCTGTTCTTCGGCTTGCCGACGTTCCCGACATTTGACCTCAACTTATTCAGCCACACACTCACGTGCGCACACACCCGCGTATACACGGGCGTCCAAATAAGCACGCCTGCTTAAGTGCCACTTGACTAAGGCACCCATCAGCCGATGAAGCAAGTACCTTTGCAGGCGTCATCCCCTCGGTCAACTTGCAACACACCAATAGCAAACCACTTTAACTTGCTCTGCAATCCCAGTAAGAGCGACTGTCATCACCCACACAACACACAATCGACTCTCTCAGACATGGCTGGACGCAGTCAGCTGTAGCCCTGGCATCGCCAGTGGCCACTGCCACATGAGACAGCAACGGGGAGTTCTGTACACAATAAACCTTACTCACAGGTGCCTTCTGCCTTATTACTTCCAACCTGGGATTTGGCCTGATGGTTATAGTGATCCGAGTACACCCCTGCCTATGGATTCCTTCCGTAATGGCACTTTTGATTAAATAAGCGTTACTCCAAGAGTATTTGAAATCGTTTACCTCACGGATAGTTGCATTAAATTCGCCGATATAGAATCTTAACAGCAGGCCAGGTTATATATGTCCATTGCATTGCGGCTTTATGCATGAAAAAATATATCGGAAGATGTGTTAAGTTGTTTATATATTTTAGTCTTATTCAACTGAGTTTTCGGCGACGTGACACGTTTGCCTTAAAGTAAACTCCGTTTCGTGCTCTTTTAGAATATACTACTAAAGACCCTGAAATGTGAATAAATATCAACTGTGGATTCTTTATTAAGACGGCGGTTTGAAAGACCCAAGATTTAACGCGTGAAAGAAGTTAATATGGATCATATATATGTGTTTGTCTAGAGTTGCGAAAGTGAAAATGCGCAGAAATTAAATTTCCAACGCTGGAGCTCTTGAAAGCTAAGGAGAACTTCCTAATATTATTAGCTCAGCTAAGAAAGAACACGTAGATTCAGCGATTTTTCAGGTCACTGGCAAGTTACAAGCATGTGCTCAGCCCAACTCAGGGAGGTCTTTCACTAATGAGAACTTTTTCGACAGATGAGAAGAAGCTCGCAGCGGTTATCCTTGGCACGCAGAAAAAGTTGCTTGATGGTTTAAACCATTGCAAGTTCACAGAAAACACTGCTCAGAATACTAAACGGTGAGCCTACGAAGTTTGATTAATGTGAATGTCTATGTTTGATATCAAAGCCTTTGCCAAACACTCCACCTGACGCTGAATCAACAGAAAAAGTACGGGTGGCAGCAGTGACTACTGTTGCTGAATTCTTTTATGTGATACCAGACGATGACGCCACCGGTGCTATGGGCGGCTTTGGCATGGCGTTCGGATCAGTCTTGGGACGTCGAAAACATGTACTTACATGCGTCACTCTCCTAACAGCAAATAACTGGTAACGAGATACTCTTTGGTTTAGCAGGCTTTTGCCATATGTCACATCCAACTCGTATCAATCCGAATGTTTGCAGAGCATCATATCAGGCAGAAAATCCATAAACATCACGAATTTGACAGCCGGCGTGTAGTTTAGCAAGGGCCCTTAAAATTAAATCTTATACGTTATTTAACTTACTACTATGATGCAGTAGAAAAGAAGCCTCTATCGATCGTAGTTGTTTGCGCATACCGGTGCGGCAATTTGATTCATAGTTACTGCAGTATTTTCTG